TTTTTTTTTTTTTTTTTTTTTTTTGGTAATTTGCTCCAGGGAGAAAAAAAAATCGCTAATTTTTTTAATAATATCAAACATATAGCATCTGTTTTTGCTCTTTACCTTTTGTTTAATAAATAAGCTTTACAAATAAGTCAAATTTGTTTTGCTTCTAACTTTTCCTTTGCCTGATTTTGCATTATCCTTAATTTATGGACATGAGTGTAGATAGATATACAGACAGATAAACTGTTATAGCTTTATTTATTTTTAAGAACATGTTTAAGAGAGATATTATTTACCATAAAATAGCAGAAAGTTGTTCATAAATATTAGCATCAGAAAACACAGTTTGACATCTTGAAAGAAGAGATGCAGCTCTTATCTAATTATGAAATTTAAGGCATTCATTCCTGCCTCAGACGAACTTGAAGAACAATGAGCTTATTTAAAACTAGACAAAACAGCATCCTTAATTTGGCATAAAATTTGAATGAAATCGATTTCGAAGGTGATCGATCGCTGCGTGAACGAAGTTCATGCTGCTGGGCGCCTGAGTGAGAGACCCTATTCCAGTCTAGCAACTGGATGTGCTTCCGCTTGTTGGCGATCGTAGAGGTAGTCGATCAGAGACAAACCGTTCTTCTTCAGGAAGGGGGGAGAGAAAGCCTAAAAAATGGCATAAGCGACGACCGTATTCATATTAAAAGCGATGGGCAGAACAAAATCAACACAAATGTCCCATGTTGCTCTATCTAGCGAGGGAAATAGTAATGGAACGTCAAAAATTAAGATATCAGAATTCTAAAAGCATTAAGTTTGGTTTGTTTTAGTTTATTATGACAAAGCACTCTAGGGCTATCTGCCTAAGGGGAGGGATGACTTCGTGGAGGAACTTTCTATGAGAAACTGGCTCGTATACACGTTACACAAGGTGAAAACCAAGAAAACCGTCCATGCAGCCAGCCCGTTCGTCTGGATTCGAACTCACGTCTGAACTACCACTGTTCAGCGATTTTACCACTCGGCCGCTCGTGGGCCTTTAAAAGCATTAGGAAGCACACGATTGGAATTAATAACATTAAATAAAGAAGATATATTTTTGTGAATGTAAGAAAGTTCAAAGAAATCCAGTTCACTAGCTGAAGACGTTTTATCAATAATTTTTGTAGAACCAAAGCCAAAACTGAGATTCAGTTTCCAATCATGATTGGCTATCAAAAATGTGTTTCTATTCTCCTTATCGAACATAAGATTCGTGTTTTTTGACACGAAATTTTAATGCTCTTTTATGTTTCCGAATGTCCTAAACCACGCTGACAAGATATGCTATAACTTTGCCAAGAATTAAGGTCAGAGATGGAATCGTCAATACACTTAAGCTCGAAACTTAAATGTACGATTATGTAGGATTTCAATTTTGGTAACGAAGGAAGGAAAATAAAGGAGCAAATTAGGGAGAATAAAATAATACGATTTGGTATTTTGAGCAAATTCAATTCACTTTCACTATACTTTTACAATTTTTTCATTATTATTTTTAATTTAATAAAGCATTTATTTTCTTATAAAACTGTGCCGTTTCTTTTTACATTTTGTTTTTTTATGACAAATATTTAGATTCAAAATATTTTTTTAGTTATTCTTATTTTTAAATAATTTAGATTAATTGTTTTACGTTTACTGCTGCTTCTTCACTTATTAAGAACAGAAACGTGATTTTATTTCTAAGATTAATTGTTTCGTTAAATAAATTATTATTGCGCTTCAAAACCATATTGATTTTATTGACCATATTTATTATATTGATTTTAACATTATATTATATAATCCCATATATATATACGTTACGTTATGTAATACATGTGATTCCCTTTAAATTCAAAGTTTTAATTCTTCCGTGGTTTTGTCAAGAAAGGTTCCGCCACTTCTTTGTAAATTTTATATTTATATATAAATTTTCCAGCGTACGTTTTATCGCATTACATTTTCCTTAACTTAAATTTCATTTTCTGCAAGCAGTGATTTTTCGTTGCTGCATTTTCCTTGCTAAGACATGTTATGCACAATATTAAAATATGTCCTGCTTCCTTCGTAAATTTCAAATGAGGCAATTAGCTGCGAGCATCTTATTGTTAATTATTTGAGAGAAATGTTGAAAGCTAATGCAATAAGTACATGCATGGATTTAGAGAAAGAATTCAGAATTTTGGATTGTACTGTATAAAAATCTCTCCTTGAGATAGAGAAAGAACGGGGCTCTAAAAATGAATATAGCACAGATTAACACAATAAGCAGATGTAGAATTACTTTGAAGTCTGCCTTTAATTGCTTCCTTGATATTTTCACTGTGCGATAAAAATGAGCCATTTTTTAAACAACTGGTAACCTACGACAAACCATTGACATTGTACGACAACAGAAAGGTCAGAACAATAATCTCCACCGAAAGAATGTTATACTGGCAGTTTGTTTGTCTGCTTCTCACCTAACACCAGGTGCTTCGATTTTCTGTTTCCTGTCACAGTTCTACACTAACTACCAATAAGTTTTTGGACACCTATGCAAATGACGATATCTGCGATCCTATGGTACGTCACGGATTCTGCCGGTATATATCGTGTAGGAAACAGCATCGGCTTTATGACAATGACATCGGCTTTAGTCGCATGCAAGATGCCTCGCAGTTCGGAGCTCTCTGATTTCGAGAAAGGTATAATTATCGGGTATCATAAATGTGGCCGATCCTTAAGGGATCTGAAGATCTTCAGATCTAGGGATCTGAAGTACCCAAAATCGACAGTGGCCTATGTGATTAAGAAGTGGAAGGTGAGCGGTGATTGTCGGAATGTGCCCCGAGTCGGCAGACCAACGAAACTGGGAGATAGAGACCGACGAGTGCTGTCCACAGAAATTCGGAAGAACCGCACCCAACCGATGGCTCTCATTCGCGAGGAGTTTCAACAGGCATCCGAGAGTATTGTTTCAATGAATACCATCCGTAAGGAAGCACATCTGCTTGGTTTTCATGGTCGTGCTGCTGCCCATAAGCCTTTGATCACAATGTCCAACCGCGCTGCTCGGTTAATGTGGTGTAAAGCACATCGAAATTGGACCGTAGATCAATGGAAACGGTTTCTTTGGAGTGACGAATCAAGGTTCACCCTTTGCCGTTCGGATGGCAGGGTCTGGGTCTGTCGTCTACCTGGAGAATGTCTCCTGCCAGAATGCATTGTGCCAACAGTCAAGTTCGGCGGAGGTGGAATTATGGTCTGGGGGTGTTTCTCCTGGTATGGGCTGGGACCCTTGTTCCCCATTCATGGTAAGCTCAACTCCGATGCCTACTGCACTATTTTGGATGACAATGTGCTTCTACGTTGTGGCAGTTTTACAGGTTGACCCCTGTTACTTTCAGGACGACAATGCCAGTTGTCATGTTTCGACGTTAACCAAGGCTTGGTATGGTGCCAATGGAGTTCATCGAATGGACTGGCCTGCCCAGAGTCCAGACCTGAACCCTATCGAGAGCCTCTGGGACGAGTTGCATCGCCGAATTCAGGGGTGCACTAACCGTGCAAAATCGGTGAAGGAACTTCTATGTCTTCTCCAAGCTGAGTGGAAGAAAATACCACTAGCTGTCAGACAAAGACTTGTGGAAAGTATGCCCCGGAGGGTCCCCGCTGTAATTACCTCTCGTGGAGGCTCTACAAACTATTGATTTTGAATAAAGTTAGTTTTTCTTTTCTATCACAGGTGTTTAAATACTTATTGGTAGTCAGTGTAGTTAAATACACTGGTGTGCGAAATATAAGAAACAATTCCATTTTTCAACATACAACCATGAAACTCTTGAAAATTGTTTTTGCGATCAATAAAATAGAAAGCGAACTCAGTATAAAGGTGATTGCTTATGCAAATATCATCACCATGATGTCTGAGGGTATTTCAAAGCACACAAAACTCAAGGATTTAGCGTTCCCATTGCAAGGCAACTTAAAAAGAAGAAAGGAAGGCTTCTTTACAGGCATTCTTCTGCAAGTGAAAGTGAGTTAGTATGTGCAGTATGGCTACAAGAAAACATCAGGACGTCTTTATACATGGTAGAAAAACTAGCAAGATTGAATAAGGGCGTAGTTTACGTCTGTCGCCCAAGAGATTGCAATTGATAAAAGTACTGTTTCACAAGATTCTAAACGAAAGGTACAGCTGTATGAAAGGCTGGTGGCGATCAGCCATGAAACCTAACGGTGACTGATGACCGATGCATCGCCCTGCATACGAAAAAAGATAGAAATGAGACAACGGTAACATTGTTCAAGAGTTGCGCACGGCAACCGGACGACAGGTGCCCTGGTTTTCTGTGGCCAGGAGAACTTGACAAAGGTGGCCTATTCGTCCGCTGTCTGAACGCTGCGTACCCTTGATAGCAGACCATTGGGGGACCTTTTACAGTGGTGGAGAGAACACAGAGAGTGAGCACCTCATTAATGAATTCACATCCATTTTACCAATAAGAGTCGCTTCAGACTGACAAACAACCCTACACGTCAGATGATAAAGAGAGAGGCAGAGACGCACTTTCATGCCAGTAACATCAAGAAAAGAGAACGTCGTGATGGTTCTGGCGTGATTGCACTGGGAAGCAAATATGAAGAAGGAACGGACGGAGCTCTACATTTTCGACACGGGTTCACTTACTGAGCATCGTTATTGTGATGAAGTTAAGACGGAAACTTTCTTGATATTCCAATGTATCAAGAAAGTTTGTATGTTATAAGGAAAAATAAGGGGAAAAACCCACCTGAGTCTTTAAGTGGGTTATGTTTCGAAATGATCCAGCCAGAAAATTTCCGGCCGCTTTCTCCATGGTGGGCCCACATCTGGGCAAACCCTGTGTACAGATAGATATTTCGAATAATACGAGATAAAATTATAAACTTAGCTTTTTATTTCATCTTTTTTTTTCTCTCGAAAGGGAACTATTAAAAGAAAATTGTACTTTAAAATAGTACTTTACCTGCTGCAGAATCAAGTTCCAGCTGTTTAGTCGGTTTGGTTAGAAGCTTGACTTTGCACATTCCCTTGTCGGCTGCATAGCTGACTGCCACTAATATAGGGAAAAAAAGGAAAGTCATGACAGCTTCCCAGATCTCAACAACATGTGGTGAGACAGCAAGCAAGACGATGAGCAACCAAATGTAGGCAAAAATGCTGAAGAAAGCAGTCACACTAAATACCTATATAAGATAAAAAGTGGCTATAATATTAAATATTTCTTAGTATTCTAGTGACAACAAAAGTTTAATAAATCTGTATTTGAATAACAACATGAATATTAAAAAGCGAAAAGTTAAAAATAATGATAAACTTTACTAAAGGAATTACAAATTCGTAGAGATGCTCATAAACATTACAATTTCGTAGAATTATTTATAAGCTGTACTCTAGATCTTCATTTTAGCTTAATTTAACGCTTAATGGATGGTGAATTATGATGAGATATTTCACCCTGTTATCATCTTGACATAAAGTAAGACACACATCTGTAAAACTTAAAAAATATTTTGAACCAACCACTTGTGGTACATAACTTAAATCATATGCAGCTAAGAATTTTAACGAAGACAAATCGCTAGTTTATAAACTTTAATCTTCTTTTCGGCATTAAAATTTACAACCTAGCGATTTGTCTCTCAGTAATAAAAAAAATTAAAGTTCTAATTGCAGAAAACTTCCACTGAACACCTGGAACGGGTAATAAATAACCTCAAGCGAAGGCTTTAAGCCGTATCAATTTTTTCCCCAGCTAATATAGCAGAAAACTGCGCGTGATAACCATAAGCAGAGAGGATTTTTTTCTTGTAAAGCAGCATGTGGTATAGTTAAGATTCTCTTGTAATTTTAACTTCTTTGCCGCGTGTCTAAAATTTACATATCTTTCTGGTCAGAGCGTCATGTGAGGCACGAGAAGATAGGATAGCATGCAGCTTAAGCTTAGCTTTTAGTAGGTCTTTAAAAATAATGTCACACTGAGATCAAGAAGCATCCATTTGATTATGTTGTGGTCTTATATATGATATGGTAATGGGTCCAGGATGAGACGACCATATTGAGCTATAATATCATATTGAGCGATTAGCAAAATTATTGCTTACACTAATATTTGAAAGTATGGTACGTAGTATATTGATGGCATATTTTCTGTTATATGCATTCAAGCAGACCAATATGCAGTTCTGTTGTTGCTCTGAAAGGGTCGACAGACGGATATTTATCTGGCTCGAATCTTTTTATTGCAGTGTGCAGAGGGTGAAACCTTTTGTTAACCTGATTAAAGGGATCATCCTAAGCATAACAGTTGCACGGTTTAATCCTTCCAAGGTATTGAAGCAAATATTGAACAATTTTAAATTGCAGACTTTGGATTTGCAGTCTAGATTTCTTTCTCCTAATGAATTTTCATATCCGATCATCTGAAGATGCCCATCAAAACACTATTTTTTTATGGATAATGACGTTAAGCAGGCTGTTTCTAATCTCTATATGTAGCAGACTATAGATTAATAGACAAAAAGCATCTTCAACCTGATGCATCAACGAAACACGTTCTTTTAGCTCGGCCAGTTCCTTAAATGCACTGAAGAGCCAAAACTTTATGACCACCTACTCAATAATGCGTTGCTCAACCTTTGGCCTGCAACACAGCTACAGCTCGCCTTGGCATGGATGCCAGGCGAGCTGTAGGTGTGTGACAAGTCCTTGATAGATGACTGGAGACATGTTGTATCAAATGTTTGAGCAGCGGTCATGCAAAGTCAAGATATTTCGACGTGGTGGTGTTTGAGCTCTGAGTTGCATCTCCATGACATCTCAAATGTGCTCTGTCGGGTTAAGAACGGGCGAGTTTGGTGGAAGGACATGAATTGGAATTCAACCTTATGCTCCTTGAACCACCTCAACACAATTACAGCTTTGTGACATATGACGTTACCCTCCTGGAAGATTCCATTTCCAGTTGGGAAGACAGACGCCATGTAAAGATGCAACAGTTATGTTCAGATAGTCTGCAGCTTTCATGGTCTGTTCTACCATAACTAAGGGTCCCAGAGCCGTCCATGAAAACGTACCCTAAAGCATAATACTGACACCACCATCCTGTGTATGACCTACTGTATAAGAGGGAGGGGTGGCAACTGTTCACCTGAAGTCGGCGTACCCTGACACGACCATCGACATGATAAAAAGAAATTGTGATTTATATGACCAGAGAACTGTCTTCCACTTATCCATGGTTCAGTCTTGATGTTCCCGGGCCCACTGCAATAGTATTTGACAATGACACTTGATCAAGAGAGGCACACGAGTGGGTCGTCTGCTGCGCCGTCCCATATCCAATAGTGTCCGCTGGACTGTGGAACTGCTCAGCGGACACTGTTGTTCCGAAACACTTGTACTTTGACCTGCATTGTATTGGGCTGTCAGCTGAGCTACTGTCGCGCCTTTTTCTCTGTACCAAGCGGCATAGTCTCCGACGATATAGTCCGATAGTCTCCGACACTTTGGTCACGCGTAGACGTCCAACGCCTTAGCGTCTACTGCTGGTTTCACCGTAATTCCAGCATCAGTTAAACACCATTATCTCTGAATCACGTGCCGTCTACGTCATCCAGACGCGTTTATTGAAAATTGTGGGAATGGTCGTAATGTTTTGGCTCGTCAGTGTATATGCTTCACCAGAGTGGCCTAGTGGTTAAAGGCTACTGAATATCCGAAATCTCGAGTTCAAACTCAGTGAATGGGCTGGCTGCAAGGTTGTTTTTCATAGATTTCTCCATGTATAGCCTGAATACAAGCCAGCTTCCTTTAAAAAGTCCTCCACGAAGGCATCTCTCCCGTTAGGCAGATAGCTCTTTTGTGCTTTGCCATATTCAAATAACCTAGCCAAACCTAACTTTAAAATACCTAGGCAGATAGCCCTTCTAGGCTTTGCTATATTTTATTAATCTAAACTAACCGTCATAATATCTTACGTACTACGCAGCTCTTGGAAGTATTTTAGTCACACTGCTTGTAAGAAACAAAATTTTATACATTGCTTGTGAGGAACTAAATTTTATACATCATTCGTAAGAAACGAAAACTTAAAATTTGGAACTTTTGAGTCAATAATGTAAGAAACTATTTCGCATTAATCAAAGATGTTAATCTAGAAAATACATTGGAAAAGTAGTTTTACTTTGAACTATCACTTTGGGTTTCCTTAATTAGATTTTAATTATTTTCTTGACTTACATGTTCTGTATTTTTCTTAACTTACAGGTTTTGTTCTTATAGGTTGCGATACAGTGTTGCAGTAATAATCTACCAAAATAAAAATATAGTTGTTTCACATTCAGATATTGGCGTAGTGTGATTTAAAGACTCACTGTCTAAAAAAGAAATTTTTTAGGGTTTTGTTTTGACGTTAAAAAAATTAATCCGACTTTTGCTTTCCTTCCCTTATATCTTGTTTTACATAACAGCTGCAAAGCCGGTTGCAGTTTAAAGCTGAATATTTCCGGGTTTTGACTGCAAAGAGCGAATTGCAGGCCGCCGTGACAAATGACATAGTCACGCTCCGTGATTCATCTCTGCAGAACACATTTTGTCATTACGCACATAAACTATTGTCTTGCTTCTCCTTTTTTTATGTTTTCAAGATGCTTTGCTGGTGACGATACTGTTTTCAACACAAATGCGAGATACAAGCGCATAAAAATTATAGCATTAAACGTAGAAACAGACATAAAAAGAAATATATATCATAGTCGAGATTTAATCTTATAGAACAGAGATTTTTTTTTTTTTTTTTTTTAGCTGTTTTACGCGGTTTTGAAAGTTTAATAGTGAGAGGTCAGAGAGGGATATTCAAACAAAGATTTGATTTGCCGTTTAATTGTTATGAATAAATTTGTTATCAAGAAATTTCTGGAATAAAAACTTGTACTTCTTTAAACTTCTTCAGAATAAAAATTTCTTCAGAATAACATCATCTTAGGAATTAATAAGGTTAAGGGTCCCCGAAATTAAGTTTCAAGTAGACTTTCTCTGTTTCGAGTTATGCATGACGAATATATGCAGAAGACTTATTAGAAAAATTGATACCATCCAATTATTTCTCTTGTGTCCAATATATTTGTTTTAGAAAACCTTTTTCTAACCTTGTATACACAAGCAAACATTGATATCCGTTGATCCGTCAAACATTGATCCGTCAAATGAGATCTACGCATATAGGTCTGAATCGGATACTGAACGTCTGCTCCCCCTGACGAAAGAACGTTATTATCTTTTCGGAAGAAAAAACCAATAAATACATTATTTAAAAATATACAACTAAACATTTTCATGATACAAAGGTCTTTAGCAGAGTTTTTTCAAAACTTCCAGATTGTTACGTTACATTACATTACCATCTATACATCAACCACTCACATTGGTAAAAACTCTGTTTTCAACTCAGGTATAATTGTATAAGAATAAACTTTGTATACGCAAGGTAGCGCACGAAATGTCATATCAGTCAGTCCCCTCACAATTTTTTAATATCACATTTTAAAATACTGGAAAGCGTATTCGGATGCTTTAGCTTGTGGAAAATCCGATAGATGTCAGAAGTCAGTATCGAATTCTAATTTGCCGTGAAATAACAGTTTCCAGGATAGTAAATAACGGTCGCTTATGTGTTTAACAGAAGGTGTAAGTTCTAATGATTTTTGAAGAAACGAAGAGTAAGGAAGGGTGACACAAAGACACTTTCTTGCACACTTTGATACAAGGACTCCCTGCGCACATACCTTTCACGGATTGTGTCAGCCATTGAAAGTCACTCTCTCTGTGTTGGAAAAAAATCGAGACGCCCATCAAGTGTTCGCATACCTGAAAATGGTAATAGATGTTTTTTTCACACACTTCGTGATTTATGCAAAACAGATCCCACCCATCCCACCCGCTCACTGAAAATGTTTTTGGTTTTCTGTATGAGATGTTTAATACACATGAAATGTCAGATCGGTTTCCTGAACATTACAAAGATGGGAGTCAGTGGCCTTGTAAAAGCACAGATCCATGCAATTTCTATTTATTGGATTTTTTGAAGGAAGAAGATGGCAAACCTCTTATCGTGCAATTATGCCGTGAAGTTTCGGAAGTCATGTGCCCCACAGTTGTGACAAATGGAAAGGTTCGCTTACAATAA